GAGTGCCATCAGCAGGGCTTCGTCCTGGACCCGGTCCTGTTCAGGATCTTCATTAATGACTTAGATGAAGGGTTAGAAGGCAGGATCATCAAGTTTGCAGACGACACCAACGTGCGAGGGATAGCCAACACTCCACAGGACAGGAGCAGGATTCAAAACAATCTTGACAGATAAGAGAGATGATTGGCCAAAACTAACAAAATGAAGTTCAACAGGGACAAATGCAAGAGACTCCACTTTGGCAGGAAAAAATGAAATGCAAAGATACAGAATGGGGGACGATGCCTGGCTCGAGAGCAGTACGTGCGAAAAAGATCTTGGAGTCCTCGTGGACAGCAAGTTAAACATGAGCCAACAATGTGATGTGGGCGCAAAAAAAGCCAATGGGTTTTTGCCCTGCATCAAGAGGAGTCTATGTCTAGATCCAGGGAAGTCATGCTCCCCATGCTCTATTCTGCTTTCGTTAGACTAACTCTGGAATATTGTGTCCAATTCTGGGCACCACAATTGAAGAGAGATATTGACAAGTTGGAATGTGTCCGGAGGAGGGCGACTAAAATAATCAAGGGTCTGGAGAACAAGCCCTATGAGGAGCGGCTTAAAGAGCTGGGCATGTTTAGCCTGAAGAAGAGAAGGCTGAGAGGAGACATGATAGCCATGATAGAGGAGACATGATAGGCAAGCTTGTTTTCTGCTGCCCTGGAGACTAGGACGCAATGGAACAATGGCTTCAAACTACAAGGAAGGAGATTCCATCTGAACATTAGGAAGAACTTCCTGACTGTGAGAGCTGTTCAGCAGTGGAACTCTCTGCCCCGGAGTGTGGTGGAGGCTCCTTCTTTGGAGGCTTTTAACAGAGGCTGGATGGCCATCTGTTGGGGGTGCTTTGAATGCCATTTTCCTGCTTCTTGGCAGGGGGTTGGACTGGATGGCCCATGAGGTCTCTTCCTAACTCTATGATTCTATGAATAAACAACAACATCGCAAAATGTGTTGCATGATGTTTCGCAACAACACATTTTGGCAGTTTAAAAAACTCTTTCTCTCTCTCATATGTCCACTCACCATCCTTGAACGAGCCTCTATGATGCGGCATGCGTTTCCGGCCAAAGGTTCGCTAGAGAGAAGGAGAGATACACTCCGTCAGTGATGCCATCATAACAATCCCTCAGAACTATTTCTCGACCTCTCCTTGGGTACAAACATTTCTCAAGATGTTGGAATTTTCCTGACTAGTCTCTCCATCTCCAGTTTAGCCGAGACAATCCCAGCGAGACAGGAAAAGCCCTTGATTTGGGGATTACGGCTGGAGTCCATTGCTACCCTTGGAATGCAGCCTTACATAAGCAGAGAGCGGCTGTCTCGACCCCGCATGCCCTGTTTATTTATTTGGGAAATTTCTGTATCGCCAACATAATCCTGTCCAATACCCAAGTGAAGGCTTTCAAACGGGGACACTTCCATCCTAGATTTTGTTTCCTCCACCACAGACATCACAGTGTTTCTGACTTCTCTCAATCGCTGTGGAATTTGCATGACCTTGCCCACTGCCTTTCCCTTAATCCTTTCCTATATTTTTTCTATGGCACACAGCAAACAGAGGAATTGATCAGCAACTGAACATACTAGAGAGGTTTGGAGAGAATTCACCATGATTTATAGGAATCGTAAGTAGCGGGATTTAAAGTTCACCTGCAGTCTGGTCATTCTGACATGTAGCACCTTTTGATTTTAGGATTTTTATCTCTATTTTTATTTTATTTATTTAACTGCACTCTGAACTCCACCAAAGATGTGATCTAGAGCTAAAATTTAGGGGTCTTTGCCAGGAGGCAGAGACCAATTAGATTCATCAAAGAGTTCTTTTCCCTGGCGAGAAGAAAAGCACCCAATATTTTTCCTGATTCCCCAATGAAAGGTCTCACCAAGTTGAAGAAAAGCCATCGAGGTTTTATTTGCGATTCAGCTGAAAAGGATGCAGAGCTGCAATCATTCGCCAGCAGAGCACGAGGAGAATACACCAATGCAGTCATATTTATAGTAAATTCAAAATTGCAGAGTTCAAACTTCCCGCCCCGGCCTCCCTGCTGCCCTCCACTGTGATTGGACGATGAGCAAACAGCTGAGAAGCGGCCCTCCTGCCCCCGGTGCCTCTGGACCAATCAGGAAGCTCCAGTGATCCGTAGGACACAAATCAGGAGAGAGGGAAGCGGGACGATAGAACACAAAGGAATCTGTGAATGAGTCTTTAAAAAAGGAAATGCCATGTGGCCTGCGAGACAAAAAGCTCAAGCAGGGCTGACCTATTGTGTTTTGAGTGTTGTGAATCAACATGTGTAAAAATATCCAGATCCTTCCTGGCTGTGAGACAGGAGAACAATGATGGCAGCCTGGGGTTAATGCTATCAATGGGAAGTAAACAAAAAGCAGAGGGGAAGATTTCCCCTTATCTTACTTGAGGAGTGATAGAAACTTTGCCAAACAATTCTTTACTCTAGTGGGCCATCTCTGATGCTAGAGATAAGAATCCTTTCCTATTATCCATGCAAGAGTGTCTTTGGCTGGGGGGTTTCTGTAATCGCTAATGGCTTTTGTTTCTGAAGGCCAGGTGGTTCCCTGACATACTTCTTTGGAGGGAGAAGGGGGCAAAGGGTCAGGAATACAAGAAAATATAAAAATCATATAGAAATTATACACAGGGAAATCATATGCAGGTATCTTCCCATCCAAGACCCCAGAGAGGAATTAATAATACCATTTATAAAACGCAGACAATATCAGGACACAGCATGAATTCATAAGTCGTTCTTTTAAGAAAGTTCATGGGCAAAGAGTGAGTCCTTGGGGAGAGTGAAGTCCAGAATAGGAGCAGAAACCAATAAGTCATGCAAAGAATCAATGGAGTTCCACTGAGCCAAAGGATGGAGTTCTGCAGAGCTGAGAACGAGGCAGGTCCTTGGTCCTTGGGGAAACTACAGCTCTCTCGAGAGAGGCAGAGACCCCAAGGTCTAGCCATTCCCGAAGTCTCGTGGGGTCCTCATTGTTGTTAGTGTCTTGGCAAATTGACCAAGACTTAACCCCTGTTGTGCAGCCTTGTCCTTTGCAGAACTATAAGTTACCATCCCTTGTTGGGGGGGGGGCATGCTCAACTTCAGATGGATGGGGAACTGACTTGGCACACAGAACCCCCATAACTAAGAAATAAAATTATGAAAGTCTTTGGAGGGATTCATAGGAGTTGTAGTTCACATACATCCAGAGAGTACTATGAACCCAAACAATGCTGGATCCGGACCAAATTTGGCATGCGTACCCGATATGTCAAAATTTGAATACTGATGGGTTTTGAGGGGAATTGGCTTTGACATTTTGGAGTTGTAGGTACTGGGACTTATAGTTCACCTGTAATCCAAGAGCACTCTGAACTCCACCAAAGATGGAATTGGACCAAACTTGGCACACAAAGCCCCTATGACCAGCAAAAAATACTAGAGGTCTTTGGGGAAAATTCACCTTGATTTGGGGAAGTTGTAGTTCACTTACATCCAGAGAGCACTGTGAACCCAAACACCGATGGATCTGGACCAAACTTGACACATACCTGATACTTTGAAATTTGATTACAGGGGTTGTGGGGGGTGGGAGGAACTGACCTTCCTTTCTGGGAGTTGTAGTTCACCCACAACCAGAGAAATTGTGACCTCCACCAATGATGGACCACACTTGGCACACAGAACACCCATGACTAACTCATCCTCCTGGAGGGGTTTGAGGGGACTGACTCACCATAGTGGGAGTTGTAGTTTACCCTACAGCCAGAGAGCACACTGAACCCCACCGATGATGCATCTAGAGCAAACTTGCCCAACATAACAAACTTTAAGTACTGATGGAGTTTTTTGGGGTTAACCTGGCATGATGTGAGTTGCAGTTCACCCACAATTTTATGCATTTTGACTTACAGTTCACCTGTAATCTAAGAACACTCTGAACTCCACCAAAGATGGAATTGGACCAAACTTGCCCCCATGGCTAGCAAAAAGATAACAGAGGTCTTTGGGGAAAATTCACCTTGATTTGGGGGAGACGTAGTTCACCTATAACCAGAGAGCACTGAGAACCCAAACACCGATGGATCTGGACCAAACTTGGCACACAGATCCAATATGCTGAAATTTGATTACTGGAGGGGCTTGAAGGGAACTGAACTTCCTTTCTGGGAGTTGTAGTTCACCCATCCAGAAATGCCGGACCACTCTAACAACCACCATGTCACAGAGAAACCACTGAAATCCACAAGCATGTGGACAATTTCAAAAGAAAGGAGGAAATCATGAAAATGAACAAAATCTGGATACCAGGATTTTAAAAATCCTCTAAAATCAGGACAGTAAGTAAAGCACAACACTCACAAAACAGGGAATTCCAGACAGGAAACAATCAGGGCCAGCGAACACTTCCCAACAAAGGATTCCTCCAGCAGACAACAGTTTTTTCTCCCACCCTGGACATTATTCCACAGATATATCCACCCCACTTGCCTAGTTTCCAACAGACCTCACAACCTTTGAGTGTCTACCATAGATCTGGGCGAAAGGTCAGGAGAAAATGCTTCTGGAACAAGACCAGACAGCCTAGAAACCCCACAGCAACCCAGTGAATCCAACCATGAAAGTCTTCGACAACACAAAAATACGATGGCTTATTTTGCCTGGAGGAGTGATACAAATTCCTTTTTTTTCCCTGGAGCGACCAGAGTTCATTGAGGACTTCAAAGGTCTGACCGGGCTAATAGGGAGCCAAGCCTCTTTGCGTCCGGCTCCAGTCACGTTGTCACAACAATGGGTGGCCAGACAACTTACTTTTGAAGACTTGGAGAGAAGAAAAAAGTAAACACACAGCATTTCTTTTGCGAAGCTGTAAAGCCTTGCAAGAGCAGAACACGAAACAATGCTGTGGAACCACAGAAGTTGTAGTTTTACAAAATCTTTTGCCTTCTCTGCCCAAAAGTGCCGGCACCTCTCCAAACTCTAAAAACTAAGCATTGAGCCCTGGCAGTTAAAAGTGGTGCCAAACTGCATTCGTCTTATTATTTATTTAGGGAGAAAAGCAGGATACAAATAAAGATTTATTATTATTACTAGCTGTACCCGGCCACGCGTTGCTGTGGCCTTCAGATAACAGGATTTGCAGGCATGAAGTAATCTGGTCTACTCCACCAAAGGTTTCCTGCTGGCTAGTAGAAGCCAGGTTGTTAAGGTGCAAGGTGGTATGGAAAATAAAGTAATGAGAAGCAGCCACTGAAGCTGCAAGGCTTTTCAGTTATATTCATGCTGGCCAAAACACTCAAAAAAGCCTCTTTGAAACAGAGGCTGGGTGGCCATCTGTTGGGGGTGCTTTGAATGTGATTTTCCTGCTTCTTCACAGAATGGGGTTGGCCTGGATGGCCCACCAGATGTCTCCCGACTCTCGGACTCTCTGATTCTATATTGTTCTCTTCCCTTCACCAGTTTTCCTCTTTCTTTCTTTCTTTGTTCCTTCCCTTCCTCTTCCTTTCCTCTCCCATCCCTGCCTCCTTTCCCTTCCTTCCTCTTTCTTTCCTTCTACCTTTCCTTCCATTCATAATCTTCTCTTCACCAATCCTTTTCTTCCTTTCTTCTCTCCTTTCCCTTTCTTTCCCCTCCTTCCTGCGGACAGTTTGTAAGGGGTTTTAAAGGGGTTTTTTTTGGGGGGGGGAGTGCAGCCGCTCCGGCAGTCAGGCTTGCCTTGAGATCCTCTGGTCTTGGGGAAAGAGCCTGATTCCACAACCCCCACTAATCTGTCTTTTTTTTATCTCACCCGAGTTTTTAATTAGTTTTAATAGTTTTTCTTTTAATCATTACATGTAGCCCACCCAATGTCATTGTGATTGTGCTTATTGTAATTTTATATTGCTATGTATTCACATGTTTTATGTAATTATGTTGTTGTTTATTGTTTGTGTTTTCGGTTTCATCTTATTGTAAATTGTTGCTTGGGCTTGGCCTCATGTAAACCCATTGGGGGGATGGTGGCAGAGTATAAATAAAGATTATTATTATTATTATTATTATTATTATTATTATTATTATTGTTGCCTGGTAGCCACATGGGCCTCATGGAGCTACTGCAGTGGCTCCAGCTGCTGCCGGGGCTTGCCTCAAGCCCCCACCCCTCCGTTGGGCCAGGCCTTCTCCTTCCTTTCCTATTTCCTTTCCTCAATCCCTCCCCTCCCCAAAAGAAAAAGGACTCTGCCTTCCTGCATGGAAAGGGACTCCATGGTGAGGCTTCTCTTCCCTCACAACAGTTGGTGCTTCATTCTTCTCGCGCAATGGGGAGAGGGGCTTTTTGCGCATGCTATGAAAGGTATTTTTCTTTTTGGGGAGTTTTATGTTATTTCCCCTTCATTTGTTATGGTTTTTTTTTGTTTGAAAGGCATAGATTGGATTAGAAGGTGTTTTGTGTCCAAATTTGGTGTCAATTCATCCAGTGGTTTTTGAGTTCTGTTAATCCCACAAACGAACATATATATATTATATAGAAGATCATCATCATCATCATCATCATCATCATCATCATCATCATCTATACACATAATAAAAGTGAAAATGATTATGTGTGGGTGGCTGGGGTATCCACTTACACAGACAGATTCCTGCCTCCACAGCTACAGCATTTTTTTTTGTTGTGTCAGGAGTGACTTGAGAAACTGCAAGTCGCTTCTGATGTGAGAGAATTGGCCGTCTGCAAGGACGTTGCCCTGGGGATGCCTGGATGATTTGATGTTTTATCATCCTTGTGGGAGGCTTCTCTCATGTCCCCGCATGAGGAGCTGGAGCTGATAGAGGGAGCTCATCCGCCTCTCCTGGATTCGAACCTGCGACCTGTCGGTCTTCAGTCCTGCTGGCACAGGGGTTTAACCCACTGAGGAGACATCAAAGGCCCTCCCTCCAATAACATTGCAAGTTATAGTGAGCACCATGAACATGTCCAAGAGCCCTACCAGTGTCCTCCACAAACACCACACTGCCCACCACCCAAGTGAAGGCTTTGATACGGAGATAATTTCATCTTTGATTTTATGTGTTTCCTCCACCATAGGCACTCCAGTGTTCCTGACTCTCTCTCCATTGGTGTGGAATTTGTATCATCCCATCCACTGCCTCTCCCTTAACGCTAGTTCCCTCAATACTCATGACCACATCGATCATCTGAAGAGGCCCTGCTCGCGCTCCCGCCTCCATCGCAAGCGCGATTGGTGGGGACGAGGGACAGGGCCTTCTCGGTGGTGGCCCCTCGACTCTGGAACTCACTCCCCAGGGACATCAGACATGCCCCAACTCTGGCAGTCTTTAGGAGGAGCCTGAAAACATGGTTGTTCCAGTGTGCCTTCCCAGAATAAGGAAACTCCCAGCAATATGTCCCTAAATGCACTTTTTAGTGATCTAGGATTGTCTACATGCTCTATCACTCTCCAAAATTTCTATCTTGTTTATATGTCACCTGGCCATGCCCAGCATTATTTTTTTTAAATTTTAATTAGTACATTTGGCCCTGCCATAGTTTTTTAAACATCGTTGTGTTATTGTTAATGTTTATTGCTATTTTCTGTTTACGAGTTTATTTATTGCTCTTGTTTTTATTGTATTGTGGGCTCGGCCTCATGTAAGCCGCACCGAGACAAATAAAGTACAAATCAAGTATTATTATTATTATTATTATTATTATTATTATTATTATTATTATTATTACTCTTGGATGTAGTTGATCTGGCCCAGTGACTAAAAGTGAAAAATCTGAAAGTGACTAAAAGTGAAAAATCTGAAAGTGACTAAAAGTGGAAAATCTGAAAGCGACTAAAAGTGGAAAATCTGAAAGCGACTAAAAGTGGAAAATCTGAAAGCGACTAAAAGTGGAAAATCTGAAAGCGACTAAAAGTGGAAAATCTGAAAGCGACTAAAAGTGGAAAATCTGAAAGTGACTAAAAGTGGAAAATCTGAAAGCGACTAAAAGTGGAAAATCTGAAAGCGACTAAAAGTGAAAAATCTGAAAGCGACTAAAAGTGGAAAATCTGAAAGCGACTAAAAGTGGAAAATCTGAAAGCGACTAAAAGTGGAAAATCTGAAAGCGACTAAAAGTGGAAAATCTGAAAGCGACTAAAAGTGAAAAATCTGAAAGCGACTAAAAGTGAAAAATCTGAAAGCGACTAAAAGTGGAAAATCTGAAAAGGTGAAATTCTTTCCCAGCACTTAAGCCATGGAAAATGGCATTTTAGAGACATTGTTTTCTATCGTTGAAAATTGAGATTATCCAGGCTTGCGGGGGAAAAGGAATGGCCAGCAGTCTCTGGAAAGTCAGATCCAAAGCAGCTGGAGCCCATCTTTTCTCAAGGATTAGGTTATGAACTCTTGCTGATATCCAGCTCTGGCTTCCTCTCTCATTAAACATTTCTGGGAAAGACCAGCTGCGTGCACTATGTGTCCCAAAAGGGCCGGCCGTGTTCCTACATTTCCAAATAGCCCCACATTTCCCTGGTAGTGTTTTTCATTTAAATCCCACACATTCCCATTAAGACACAAAGATAAGCCACATCTCAAGTGTACGATTTCCGCTCCTGGCATGGAAGGGGTTAATTTGTTTGGCCTTTAAACACACTGCCCTTTGCTCCAACATTATGCACGAGCCAACATGGATGGTAATGAAGGCCATCTGCAAGTCGTCAAAAATAGATGATGAACCAAGCTAAAGAGGAAGACGAACAGAAAACCAAATCCTTGCTTTGCAAAAAAAAATTGTAGGATGTTTCCTGAACTCCCAGGGTTCAATGCTATGGAATCAGCGGAGTTGTCATTTGGAACTAACACAATTTGGCAGAAAAGGCTCAAAAACATGTCAGACAAGAACTCCTGGGATGCTATCGAATCAAGCAGCATTAACGCTCCGGTGTGGATGTGCCTCGTATCACCGCGGAAGCAAATTGGCAAGGATGTTGAATCTTCCGTACCATTAAAAATGCCTCAACCAGACAGAGCCCAAAATGCGGGTCTTCCGTCTTCCAGGAGCATAGTTTGCATTACCTTTTAGTTGCATGGGATAGTGTTCTTTTGCATTTCCCCAGACCTGGAAGTGAAACAGTATCAGAGTCTGCAAAGCCAGACTGCAGGCCCTCTGCAGTTATTGGTTTAGAAAAGTATCTTTCCTGGGTTGAGATCTCCATTTTGGAATCTCCCCTGCCTCCTTCAGTAGAGAAAGAAAGCTTCAGATGTGCTGTTGGTCAGCTAGGTAGCTCTGAAAAAAATCATTGTAAGTACGATTGAGTTATATAGATAAAGAAGCTAATTGAGATAAATAGAATAGCAATTGAGTTATAGATAGCAATTGAGATATAGAAAAGTTATTGAATATTATTGAGCAGTACTTCATCTCCAAAGCTAACCTTGAGCTATAGACTGGGAAAAAACCTGTTTTTTCTAACCCTAGCAGCTCAGGGTTAGGGTGAAAGGATCCCAGGATATTTTCTACCATTTGGGGAAGAGTTATCTCCGTAACTGAAGAAAAAAGAAAGAATTATAGGTTGCTTACCTGTAACCGTAGTTTCCTGAATAGTCACCTGTGAATTCGCACATACCCGCCCGTCCTCTCCTTGAGTGTCATGCCTCGCCTTCTGGCTGCTTTGCAGAGTCAAAGCAGGCATCGATGAGACCGGTTGCAACTCCCTGGTGCTGTCCCCTGCGCGCACATGCGCAGATCGAGGGACAAGCGGATCTCCGCCCTGCGCAATTAGTTGTTGAGGCAGCAGGGGACCACTATCTCTCCTTGTTGTTTGAGAGAGAGTTGCGCTGAGGCAGAAGCAAAGCCAGAAGACTGTTTTCCCGCCCTTTTCGCCGGGCTCCGAACAGATGGAAAAGACTGGTGGCCATCTTGGCGGCCCTTGTCTTTCACCTTCTTGACTTTTTTCTTAGCGGGACCGCCATGTTGAGGCGCCTTGGAGGCAGGTAAGTTGAGAAAATCACAAAGAAAATAAGCAGTCCAAACGAAGCTCACGAGCTGAAGGTTCCCAAGCCACTGCCAAAGTGGCGGATCAAGAGAACTGCTGGCTAGCCCACGGGCTATATATACTCGAGGGAGGGGGTGGGCGGGGCTAGACTGAGCTCAAAATGTCTATGTTTTTCTTCCAGAAGGTTTCGAAGCTATCTGCGCAGGAGCAGAGGTTACCACATGTGCGATTCACAGGGACTACGACAGGAAAAGATCATTTCTATGGTTTCACCAATTGACTGTTTTGTTTGTAACTTTGACAAGCTGTGCCAAGTCTGCAAGGACTTTGAGAAATAAATATTGTTTTGGTGTTCAAACCTGTAGTAGCCTCAGTTGCTGGGCTCCTTCTTTGGAAGCTTTTAAACAGAGGCTGGATGGCCATCTGTCAGGGGTGCTTTGAATGCAATATTCCTGCTTCTTGGCAAAATGGGGTTGGACTGGATGGCCCATGAGATCTCTTCCAACTCTATGGTTCTATGATTCTATGAATCAAAACTTCCAAGAACTTAAAATAAAAAAATGAACTGAAAACAGGACTTGATAGCCTTACTATTACACAGTGTTGCCTGATCTGAATTTTCAACAAGACACTCTCTAATTTAAGAGCTGTAAAACATGAAGGCATTTCTTTGACCTTGACTTTTTGGCTTGTGAAACTTTCTCTGCGCTTCCTTCCCACAGAGTGTTTTGGATTTCCTGAGCTGGCTGGAATGTTGCCTTCCTGTAAGGAGGCATAAACCACCACTGCGCCAACCCCCTCTGACTTACCTTATTTCTTCCAGGACTACGAGCACCTTGGGCAACGGCTTCTTTCGGCAGAGGCTTTAGACCGCTGATGGCCTTTGGCGGCTTGGTTTCATCTCCGTCCCCCACGCCCTTCATCGCGGCCCGGTAAGACATATTGCGCAGGTTGCGCTTCAGCGTCCCTTCACTGGAGTCCTCGATTTCCAGGTCGTCGATGGAAATGCTGGGGGCCGACATGCGCTTCGGGTCATAGCGGGAGGCCTCCTGGCTCAAGACGGCTGCAGAGAAGCTCTGGTGCCGCGTGGGGGCTTTGGATTTCGTGCCCTCGGCCAGGCTCTTGGGAATGAGCTGCTGGGTGCCCACCTTGAGCGCCGCAGGGCTTTCGGTGCTGAGGATGATCCGTTGCGGCCCGGTTGGCAGTGCGGCTGCAAACACAGCATTGTCCAGCGCGGACAGGGATCCATAGTTTCCATGAGAGAATGTGGCGGCAGTGTCGTTGCTGGTGTGCAAATCTGAGCTCAGCTGGTGCTCTAAAAGGAGTGCTTTTTCTCCCAAGGAGGTGTCCGAATGCCTCTTGGACATGATGCTACCGCTGTGTATGTGGTCCAGAGGACAGATTTAAAAAGGCTACACAAAGGGAAAAAGAAACAGAAAATGGTTAAAATTATTAGGCTTATGCAATAAGCTGAAACAGAGAAGATATAGAGGAAAAAATAAAGAATGACGACAAGATGGAGGAAATATTTAGAGAAAAGGTTGGCTGCGGGGTCAATACATAAAATGATTAAGGATAAAGAATATATGATAATAATTATACAAACTAAATGGCAGAAAAAAGGCCAACTTACTAGTCAAATAACAGAGGATTCAAAAGTATTAAAGTACAATTTAGTTTGAAATTTATTTATTTCTTTGTTTTGTTTTATATTCCACCCTCTCTTCCTCTTAGAAATGGTATAGGATCCCAGCCCAACATACATATATGAGGGCTGAATGAAAAGTAATGCCTCCACATTCGTAATGTCTCAACAGATGGCCGTACTGGTATGCGGCAGGTACTGGCTTGTTCAGTAGACTCTCCTCTACACTTCCGTTTTGGCAGGAAGCTTTAGCATAGAACGGTTGTGTTGTTAAAGTGAAAAGTAATGCCTTCACCTTGATAACTCCTCAACAGGTGGCAGTACTGGTATATGGCAGGTACTGGCTTGTTCAGTAGACTCTCCTCTACAGTTTCATTAGTGCTCTAACCAAGGCAGAATAGAGCATGGGGAGCATGGCTTCCCTAGATCGAGACATTGGACTCCTCTTGATGCAGGGCAAAAACCCATTGGCTTTTTTTGCCGCCACATCACATTGTTGGCATGTTTAACTTGTTGTCCACGAGGACCCCAAGATCCTTTTCATAGAATCATAGAATCAAAGAGTTGGAAGAGACCTCATGGGCCATCCAGTCCAACCCCATTCTGCCAAGAAGCAGGAATATTGCATTCAAATCACCCCTGACAGATGGCCATCCAGCCTCTGTTTAAAAGCTTCCAAAGAAGGAGCCTCCACCACACTCCGGGGCAGAGAGTTCCACTGCTGAACGGCTCTCACAGTCAGGAAGTTCTTCCTCATGTTCAGATGGAATCTCCTCTCTTGTAGTTTGAAGCCATTGTTCCGCGTCCTAGTCTCCAAGGAAGCAGAAAACAAGCTTGCTCCCTCCTCCCTGTGGCTTCCTCTCACATATTTATACATGGCTATCATATCTCCTCTCAGCCTTATCTTCTTCAGGCTAAACATGCCCAGTTCCCTAAGCCGCTCCTCATAGGGCTTGTTCTCCAGACCCTTGATCATTTTAGTCGCCCTCCTCTGGACACATTCCAGCTTGTCAATATCTCTCTTGAATTGTGGTGCCCAGAATTGGACACAATATTCCAGGTGTGGTCTAACCAAAACAGAATAGAGGGGTAGCATTACTTCCTTAGATCTAGACACTATGCTCCTATTGATGCAGGCCAAAATCCCATTGGCTTTTTTTGCCGCCACATCACATTGTTGGCTCATGTTTAACTTGTTGTCCACGAGGACTCCAAGATCTTTTTCACACGTACTGCTCTCGAGCCAGGCATCCCCCATTCTGTATCTTTGCATTTCATTTTTCCTGCCAAAGTGGAGTATCTTGCATTTGTCACTGTTGAACTTCATTTTGTTAGTTTTGGCCCATCTCTCTAATCTGTCAAGATCGTTTTGAATTCTGCTCCTGTCCTCTGGACTATTGGCTATCCCTCCCAATTTGGTGTCGTCTGCAAACTTGATGATCATGCCTTCTAAGCCTTCATCTGAGTCATTAATAAAGATCCTGGCCAGGACCGGGCCCAGGACGGAACCCTCCTGATGGCACTCTGCTCGTCACTTCTTTCCAGGATGAAGAGGAAGCCTTGGGGAGAATCACCCTCTGTGTTCGTCCATTTAACCAATTACAGATCCACCTCACCGTAGTTTTGCCTCGCCCACATTGGACTAGTTTAATTGCCGGAAGGTCATGGGGGACCTTGTCGAAGACTTTACTGAAATCCAGGTACGCTCCATCCACGGCATTCCCCGCATCTACCCAGCTTGGAACTCTATCGAAAAAAGAGATCAGATTAGTCTGGCATGACTTGTTTTTGATAAATCCATGTTGACTATTAGCGATGACCGCATTTGTTTCTAAGTGTTTGCAGACCACTTCCTTAACAATCTTTCCAGAATCTTGCCTGGTATCGACGTGAGGCTGACCGGACATTGGTCATTGTTTGGGTCATCCTTTTTTCCCTTCTTGAAGATTGGGACCACATTGGCCCTCCTCCAATCTGCTGGAACTTCTCCCGTTCTCCAAGAACTCTCAAAGATGGTTGCCAATGGTTCCGAAATGACTTCCGCTAGTTCCTTCAATACTCTGGGGTGTAGTTGATCTGGCCCTGGGGACTTGAACTCATTTAGAGCGGCCAGGTATTCCTGGATGACTTGTTTCCCAATTTGGGGTTGGATGTCCTCTAATCCCTCATCCACTCCATCTTGCTGAGGTTGAAGACTTCTTTTTGTGAGAAGACCGAGGCAAAGAAGGCATTAAGCAGTTCTGCCTTTTCCCTATCCCCTGTCAGCATTGCCCCATCTTCTCCTCGAAGAGGCCCTATCGCCTCCTTGTTTTTCCTTTTTCTACTGACATAAGAAAAGAATCCCTTTTTATTGTTTTTAATGTCCTTGGCAAGCCTGAGCTCGTTTTGTGCTTTAGCCTTGCGGACCTTTTCCCTACAGGAGTTGGCTATTTGTTGAATTCTTCTTTGGTGATTTCTCCCTTTTTCCACTTCTTGTGCATGTCTCTTTTGTGTCTTAGCACAGTTAGAAGTTCTTTGGACATCAATTCTGGCTTCTTTGCACTTGTCCTATTTTTTCTCATGCCCAGCTCTTTCAGCCGCTCCTCATAGGGCTTGTTCTCCAGACCCTTGATCATTTTAGTCGCCTTCCTCTGGACACATTCCAGCTTGTCAATCTCTCTCTTCAATTGTGGTGCCCAGAACTGGACACAATGTTCCAGGTGTGGTCTAACCAAGGCAGAATAGAGCATGGGGAGCATAACTTCCCTAGATCTAGACACTATGCTCCTATCAAACTACAAGAAAGGAGATTCCATCTGAACATTAGGAAGAACTTCCTGACTGTGAGAGCTGTTCAGCAGTGGAACACTCTGCCCTGGAATGTGGTGGAGGCTCCTTCTTTGGAAGCTTTTAAACAGAGGTTGAATGGCCATCTGTCAGGGTGCTTTGAATGCAATATTCCTGCTTCTTGGCAGAATAGGGTTGGATTGGATGGCCCGTGAGGTCTCTTCCAACTCATAAAATATTCCATGGAAGCAAAAGGAAAAGTTGCTGCCTTCTTTCTCATAGCTGTTTGAAAATACAGAGGTCACTGCAATTTGATACACCTACACTGAGCAAGGGTTGCATGCGCACACATGAAGGCGGTCCAACCGGTTTGTTTAGTTTCCAAAGTTCAGCTCCAGACCCGAACTGTTCTCCGACGGGTTTGTCTCTGTCCTTTTTCCAAGCGACCCACCCCAGCAAAGATACATATAGCAAACATTCAATTTCTACAACATTTGTTGAGCGGTCCCTGCAACAGCAATCTGGAATCCTGTGGCCAAAATGAGGCCACAGAGAAACCAGAGCTTTTGGCACACTCAAGACTTCCAGGTTCGTAGTAGGACAAAGAGCCTTCAAAGAGGAAAACAAGGGAATTGTCCTGCAGTATTGATGCCCCACTTTCCCCTCCGAACTGGGACCGGGAGACACAGAGCATTGTGCATCAAGTTCTAAAACAGTGGTTCTCAACCTTTCTAATGCTGTGACTCCTAAATACAGTTCCTCATGTTGTGGTGACCCCCAACCATAAAATTATTTTCGTTGCTACTTTATAACTGTAATTTTGCTACTGTTATGAATCATAATGTAAACGTATTTTCATTGTTACAAATTGAACATAATTAAAGCATAGTGATTACTCCCAAAAACAATGTTTTGGAGAGGTTGGACAATGGATGATTGGATTTGCAGTATCTTCAAATGATTCAGCTCTGACTTCAACAGACCTGGGTTGCCCGGCTCGGTAGGCGTGAGCCAGGTATCCCAGGCTCCGAGGCAGGACCTGTTGTTGATGGGGTTCAGAATGCTCTGTGATTGTATGTGAACTATAAATCCCAGCAACTACAACTCGCAAATGTCAAGATTCTATTTTCCCCAAACTCCACCAGTGTTCACATTTGGGCATATGGAGTATTCGTGTAGAGTTTCAGATTCATCATTGTTTGAGTCCAGAGTGATCTCTGGATGTAGGTGAACTACAACTCCGAAACCAAAGGACACTGCCCACCAAACCCTTCTAGTATTTTCTGTTGGTCATGGGAGAACTGCGTGCCAAATTTGGTTAAATTCCGTCGTTGGTGGGGTTCAGAATGCTCTTTGATTGTGGGTGAACTATAAATCCCAGCAACTACAACTTCCAAATGACAAAATCATTTTTTCTGAGTGAAGGACATACATTAGGTTGTTAGGTTTTTTTAGGTTGTTTTTATTTCCTTCTCTCCTTCCTTCTTTCTCTACCTTTCTTTCCTTCCTTCCTTTCCCCCCTCCTTCTCTCCTTTCTTCCTTCCCCCTTTCACTCCTTCATTCCTTCCCCTCCTTCTCCCATTACTTCTTGACTGTCCCATTTAATATTGTATTTATATCTTACATAGAAAGAAAGGAAGGAAGGAAGGAAGGAAGGAAGGACAGGAAGGAAGGGAAAAGAAAGGGAGGGAGGGAAGGAGGGAAAGAAGGGAAGGAAGGTAAAGAAAGAAGGAGGGACAGGAAGGAAGGAAGGAAAGGAAGGAGGGGGTGAAGAAAGGAGGGAGGGAAGGAAATGAAGGGGAAGGAAATAAAGAAAGGGAAAGGAGGAGGAAAGAAGGGAGGGAGGGAAAGAAGGAGGGACAGGAAGGAAAGAAAGAAAGAAAGGAAGGAAGGAAGGAAGGAAGGAAGGAAGGAAGGAAGGAAGGAAGGAAGGAAGGAAGGAAGGAAGGAAGAAGGGAAAGGAAGGAGGGAAAGGAAGGAGGGGGATGAAGAAAGGAGGGA